GCCAAGCAGGGAGCCCGATGCGGGACTCGATCCAGGGACTCCAGGATCATGACCTGAGCCGAAGGCAGTCGCTTAACCGACTGAGCCACCCAGGCGGCCCGAGTTCTGTTTTTTTCGATGTCTGTGCCCGAACCACTCTTTTTATCTTCCTGAGCAGGCGGTGAAGGAAATCCTGGATACGTGGGAAAGTATGAAGTTTACTGTGATCAAATATTTCAAAGGCACACAGGAGCGAGGCTACATCTTGGGGTCTGTCGACGAAATCATCCAGTGCCTTGATGACAACACCGTCAACCTGCAAAGCATCTCGGGAAGCAGATTTGTGGGGCCTTTTCTGCAGACTGTTCACAAATGGGAGAAAACGCTTTCTCTGATAGGGGAAGTCATTGAGGTGAGAGAAAAGCCAGAGAGCACTTTTATATGAGAATATTTTGTGCTCAGACCCTGATGCTTTTCTGGCTTGTTTTATTGCAGGGTTTGTGTGTGCATGATTAGAAGAGTCAGTCTGAGTTTTTATTTCAATGAATGCATTTTTAACTTCCATGATTCTTAATTGGGTCTCTTTCATACGACCCTATTCTTGTTATATACTGTCCTGTTCTTGTCAGGATATGTTCATCTCCTTTAGCACATGGAAGAATTTAAACATATTTAAAGCCCTTTTCACATTTCTCCATATTTATTCTTTTCTCAGGTCCGAGTTTTCCTCTGTGTGTTGTGTGTATGTATGTATGTATGTACCGGGACTGTCTTTCCTGGTAGTGGGTTTTTCTCGGTGGGATCTATTTATTTTTAAAGTTAATCTTACATAAAATGTTTCTGCCTGTGTTTGCTTCACTTTGTCATGTGTTTCTGCAGTTTCTCCAAGTTGGGTAGGTGGCTTGGGGCTTGCTTCTTGTTGTGGGAAGTGCTAGTCCAGACTTCTCTGAGCGGCCCAGGCTCATCTCACCATTTTTGTGTGCTGCCTCTTTTCTCTCCCCAGACCACAGGCAAGTGCCTTGTTCCAGGCACAAACTTGAGTTTTGGCTGGGATGATACCGGTCCTGGTTTACTGGCTGGGGAGGTGGCCCAGGCCCTCACTCCTCTAAAGCATGGGCTTCCTTCGCTTGCTTGTTTTGGTCCATTACTTTTTGTTAGGTAGGATATAGCACTGTTTTATTTTTATTCATTATTTAAACATTTTTTTAAATGGATGTGAAATTTACATAACATTAATCATTTTATTTTTATTTTTTTTTTAAAGATTTTATTTATTTGATAGAGAGAGACATAGTGAGAGAGGGAACACAAGCAGGGGGAGTGGGAGAGGGAGAAGCAGGCTTGGGAGAAGCAGGCTTCCTGCGGAGCAGGGAGCCCGACGCGGGGCTCGATCCCAGGACCCTGGGATCATGACCTGAGCCGAAGGCAGACGCCTAACGACTGAGCCACCCAGGCGCCCCTATTTATTTATTTTAGAGATGAGGGGAGGGGCAGAGGGAGATGGGGAGAGAGAGAATCTCAAGCAGACTCCCCGCTGAGCACAGAGCCTGACACGGGGCTCAATCTCATGACCCTGAGATCACAACCTGAGCTGAAACCAAGAGCTGGATGCTAAACTGACTAAGCCACCCAGGTGCCCCTGTTTGGGCTTTTTTTTTTTTTTTTTTACCATGATCTGTCTTTTGTTCCTCTGGGTAACACGCCCCCACCCCTGCTTACAACTAGAAGCTTCTTCCTTGCCTTGGGCTGGTGTGGAGAGTTTGCTTTTGCTTTTGTGTGGGGCTTGGTATCTTAAAATATTTAGCTATGCTTTCTTCATCATTCTTGTATATTTGGAAGGGAGTGTGTGTACTCTGACGTTTGCCTGGGGAGACTTCTGATCTGAGCTGACGTTCATCTGTCCTGTGTTAGGGTGGGAGTTTGCCCTCCATACCTCAAGGTATCTGTGCTGATGTTCACATTGTGCATTTCCAGATTTGGATGTTGGTTCAGAGAAAGTGGATGTATCTTGAAAGCATTTTTATCGGTGGCGATATCAGGTCACAACTTCCTGATGAGGCGAAGAAGTTTGACAACATCGACAAAATATTTAAAAGGGCAAGTGACTGGCTTCTGTTTTAGTCATGAAAGGACAGTGATTTGAGATACGTTTACTTATGTTTCTGCAGGTCGTATTTTGTCTGTTAAGTACCTTCTGATTTTTTTTTTTTAAGTTTATTACTTTTTAAGTAATCTTTATGCCCAACATGGGGCTCGAACTCACGACCCTGAGATCAAGCGTCACATGCTCTTCCAGCTGAGCCAGCCAGGTGCCCCTAATTCTGAATTTTTTAAATCATTACCTATGACCTTCATCTGTTCAGTAAAAATTTGTGTTTGGTTTCAAGCCGCTGGCACATGGCACTGAAACTTTTTTATATTGATTTTTTTTTTTTTTAAAGATTTTATTTATCTGAGAGAGAGAATGGGAGACAGCATGAGAGGGGGAGGATCAGAGGGAGAAAGCAGACTCCCCGCTGAGCAGGGAGCCCGATGCGGGACTCGATCCCGGGACTCCAGGATCATGACCTGAGCCGAAGGCAGTTGCTTAACCAACT